CTTAAAAGAGAAATGAAAGGAGATTTTTAGCATTTTTCCACTTATCCAAGGAATCCCTTTCTTGGCATTTGTATTTGAGAGAGAGAGCTATGCTTAGGTCAGTTCCTTCAGTAAACTTTTTTGGTAAGCCAAAAGTGAACTTTAGGTAAGTAAGTAGTCCCGTATTCAATTCATAAAACATTCATATCTGGCACTTGAGGAGGTAAATCTTAAGTGTTGGAAGCTACTGCTAAGGGACTCCCCCTCATCTATAAAGGATAGGTAATTGAGAGAGAATATTGATTGAATATCCTTTCCTGTGCTTGTCTTGTATTGAGGTATACCGAAGAAATGAGTAAAAGTAGGTAACAGAAGGGGAGGGATTGCTTTTTTTATTAGTGAGGGCTTTAAGCTTTCATTTTATTCAATCTAATGGTAGGGCTTTAAAGAGTAGGCGGTTCGTATCTTTCTATGACCCCCAGAATAAGAAGTAGGAGGATAGGCAGAGCAAGAGCTCTGAAGTCTACCCCGGCGCGCTCTTCATTCATCCATTTAGGCCCGACTAGGAACACGTGGATCCATGGAACCTGGCTCGGGAACAGCTTCTTACTAGTAGGAGCTAATCACAGTAAGAGAGTCCAATCTCTGAGATAGAGCTTAGTCTCTCCATAGTAGTCTACTACTTAGGTTATGACTTGATCCAATAGAGTCAGAACACCTTTCTATCTAAAAGAAATGGGTGCTCGATGAAAGGATCCAGATTCCACACTATGCTGTGGGCTGGGGAGAGAGCAGCTCTGCGAAGCTGGGCGTTCAGTGTTCTTATGGAGGAACCATACTAGAAAGAGAATAGAAAGGGCCTTCAAAAAGAGCGAGGGGGCAACCTTAGTCTATATGTTGCTCGTGAGCCGCCAAGTACCAGTCTCGCAACAGTATTGGCGCAAAAGGATCGGTCCTTCACTTGCTGATCGTTCGCGAGTCGAACTTGCTCTCTTGCCACGCCTTTCACTCACTCGCTTGAGTCGGGCTCAATCACTCTTTTTGTTTGGAGAATCATTCTTCTGGTCTCTCTTGCTATTACCCGCAGGGAGCGCAGCAACCAAGATGCATATTATCATATAGAAACAGGCGAAGCGTAGCGATTCGTACTACCGGAAAAGTGTCGCTAACCGGCAGGCAATAGAATCCGCCGATAGGCGCAAGCAAGCGTTGCGAATCACATAGATAAGCCCCTACCTGCCAGCTAAGGATGGAGAGGGCGGGCGAAGCGCGAAGGGATGGATGTCTGAGCGGTTTAAAGAGTCGTCTTGAAAACCGAAGTATGATAGGAATACCGGGGGTTCGAATCCCTCTCCATCCGCGAGGTCATAAGTTATCTATAGATAAGAACGAATCGGATCGACTCGACTGATAGTCAATATGGGTCCTCACCACCCATCAATGCATGGTGTTCTTCGACTTATTCTTACTCTCGATGGTGAAGATGTTATTGACTGCGAACCAATATTGGGTTATTTACACAGAGGGATGGAGAAAATTGCGGAAAACCGAACAATTATACAATATTTGCCCTATGTCACACGTTGGGATTATTTAGCTACTATGTTTACAGAAGCAATAACCGTAAATGGACCTGAACGATTGAGCAATATTCAAGTACCTAAAAGAGCTAGCTATATCAGAGTCATTATGTTGGAGTTAAGTCGTATAGCTTCCCATTTGTTATGGCTCGGTCCATTTATGGCGGATATTGGGGCGCAGACTCCTTTCTTCTATATTTTTCGAGAAAGAGAGTTGATATATGACCTATTCGAAGCTGCCACCGGTATGCGAATGATGCATAATTTTTTTTCGTATCGGGGGAGTAGCTGCTGATCTACCCCATGGCTGGATAGATAAATGTTTGGATTTTTGCCAATTATTTTTTAACAGGGGTTGCTGAATACTCAAAAACTTATTACACGGAATCCCATTTTTTTAGAACGAGTTGAAGGTATAGGCACTATTAGGGCAGAAGAAGCACTCAATTGGGGTTTATCCGGACCAATGCTACGAGCTTCGGGAATCGAATGGGATCTTCGTAAAATCGATCAGTATGAGTGTTACGACGAATTTGCTTGGGAGGTTCAATGGCAAAAAGAGGGGATTCTTTAGCTCGTTATTTAGTAAGAATCGGCGAAATGGAAGAATCCATAAAAATGATTCAACAGGCCCTGGAAGGAATTCCGGGGGCCTTATGAGAATTTAGAAATCCGACGTTTTGATAGAGTAAAACATCCCCAATGGAATGATTTTGAATACCGATTCATTGCTAAAAAAACCTCTCCTATTTTTGAATTATCGAAGCAAGAACTTTATGTGAGAGTCGAAGCTCCAAAGGGAGAATTGGGAATTTTTCTGATAGGAGATCAGAGCGTTTTTCCTTGGAGATGGAAAATTCGTCCACCGGGTTTGATCAATTTGGCAAATTCTTCGGCTCAGGTGGTTAAAAGAATGAAATTGGCTGATATGTATGACGATA